AAAGCTAATTACTTCTCCAGCAAGAAACTAAGCTTTGGCGTTCGGTTCCATCTATTACACTAATATGACATATCCATACACGTTAAGGCATATCACGGATGCCAACATTATTGCTGGTACATTTGCTTAACCTGAGATTCAAAAGATGGTTGAGCAGATATGTTTGGTCTCTAAAGAGATTATCACATTAAGAGGACAACTCACGTTTCATTCTCAATAAACTCGTGATGTCTTAGCACACAACTTACCACCTTAGCCACATAGGACCTCTGTCACCCGAAAACACCTCAGTTATGTAGAGGGGTATGGGTAGAATGAGGAGGAACTCTCTAGACTTTGTTCTCGTAGTCCAACTTGAGAATGTTCGCACCATCACACAATACGAATACGAAGTGAACATTCTCGTAGAGTCCAAACTAGCCATCATAAGAGAGAAAAAAGTCGTCACTTCCAACATTCTATGCTAAATTCTTACAGCTCATTCGGTCCACACTGAGAACAACTTAGAGGAAGAGAAAAAGGAGGCTAGTGGTGTGCCCCTCTTGTCTACCAATATCAAGTGGAAGGCTTTCTACTGTCCAAAAGAGTTATAGAAGCCAAAGTGCCCAATGAGTATTTATCTGTAAAGATGAACCTGGATAAATACGATGGACTTACAGACCTCGAGAACATATCCAGAATATGAGGGGGAGCCTTGAGCTGGTCATCCATGACAATGATATCATGTGCAAGATATTTCCCACCACCTTCAAAAGGAACGTGAGGATATGATACAACAACCTGAAGCCAAGGTCTGTCTTGAGCTTCTAGGACTTGTGTGGTAAACTAGTTGCACGTTTCAACACTAGTATTCCCATGAAGAAGAGCTCCACAAAGTTATTCGAAGTTACCTAAATTAAGAAGAAGTCCACGCGAGCGTATCTGAAGAGATTTAATGAAGAAAGGCATCAGGTGGAAAACGTACTAGAGCCCATAGTCTTTAAGGCTTTGATCAAAAGGGTTAGATGTGAAGAGTTATGGAAATAACTCCACCCGTTATAGGACAAAACTCTCCTAAGTAGATGATTGAGAGCCATATAAGAGTAGAGAAAGCCCTAGTTGCTCACAGAAGCTCCTCTCAGATTTATAAAAAAAAAAGGGGGGGTCAAAGTTAAACCCCCCCAATAGGAATCGTTCCCCTATCAAACAACATGATATTAAGAAGAAAAGGTCTTTCAAGGAACATCCTAGTAGGCCCGAAAGGGTTTACACATGTAAACACCAATTACACAGAGATCTACATAGCTTTGAAGGGTCAAAACCTACTTTAGTATCCTTCTCCCTTAAAAAGCCTAATCTCAGCCTTAAGTTCTCCAAGAAGTACTATTAGTTCTATAGAGAGAAGGGACACTATAGTAAGGAATATTATGCTCTCAAGAAAGAAGTGAAAAGACTTCTAATACACACCTCAGACAATTCCTAAAAAAGGACCAAACTCAGAAAGAGAAGGGAGGTGAAGTGAGACAACAGAGACCATCGCTCCTAGAGGTTGTCCTTGTCATATTGAAGGGCTCATCTATCAACATAGGTGTCATTAGTAATAAAAGAATAAGGTTGAGAGATTAAGTTCTAGTTACAATGGGCTAAAAAAGTTCTTGGCATGAACCCATCACCTTCACCCTTGTTGATGGACAAAGGGTCAAGCATTCGCATGAAGATGTCTTGGTGATCTTCATAGTAATAGAGGGTCATAGGGTCCATAAGATCCTAGTGGATGATGGTAACTCCGTAAACATCCTATATGTAAAGGCCATGACCAAGATGGACATGAACACATCTAGAATGACTATAATGTCAACACCCTTCATGGGAATAAAAGGATCAATTATGCCTATGAAGGTAGTAGTGGAGTGACTATCACGATGGGGAATGCACCTTATAATGTGACTGTCTAACAAACCTTTCATGGTCATTAACACCCATCTCCCATATAACTCCATCATCAGGAGGCCGTTGTTTAACTAGATAAATGTAATTATCAATACTAAGCATTTAACCATGAAGCTCCCTATTGCTAAAGGGGTGGTTGTCATGAAAGGGAATTAGAAAGCTTTAAGAAAATGTGCAAACACCTGTATGAAAAGCAAGAATGCCTTGCTAGTTGATCACCCTGAAACCTACGGTGAGAAACTAGAGGTTAAAACATAGACGACTAAAGAACTAGTTGAAGTTTGTTTGGGCCCTAAAGAGAAAGTAAAGGAAAATTAGGTCTAAAGTAGCATAATCCCCTCAGAGTGGCACGAGTGATTAAAGCTAACAGCTATCACCTACAAAACCTACAAGGCTTTGACCTTCCTCATGCATGGCACTTAGACCACCTTAAGCTATATCATTGTTAAATACACAAATAAAAAAGGTATGTTTTTATCATTTGTGTTCTTAATTTACTTTTTTTTTTCTCAAGAATACTTCTTACCAATCCAATCGAGGTCTATGACATCTGGGGCCTCTTCAAGACGGTAGTGAAATCCTAAGTGAGCATCAACCTCTATTATTACTAATCGGGGTTACACACCCCTAAGACATCTAGGACCCACTTCTTCAAAGTAATAGGGGATCAATGCTTTGCTCTTCAGGGTGGCTTTCAACACCCCCTACCTTCCTTCTATCTAGCCTTTTTAGTTAGAAGTAAGAGCGGTCTTATCAGGTCTATCCTGTCTGTCCAAACGAGCTACATACCCGTGTGTGCGGTCTAGAACCTACATCTCTCATTGACAGCATGAGACCAATCTTTATGGCATTCAAGAGTGCTAGGGCAGCCTTATCAAGCTCACCCCATCTATCCAACTTGGGTTACACACCCTGTATGAGATCTGAGATCCACATCTCTCTTAGATAGCATGGGTACCAGCCTCTACAACATTAAGAAATGTTAGAACCAGCCTTCCTACAGCAACATCTCATTTATCTAACTTGGGTTACACACCCTGTGTGAGGACCCTGTGTGCGGTTTGAGACTTGTATCTTTTCTAGATAACACATGTACCAACCTTTATAATATTAAAAAGTGTTGAAACCAGCCCTCCTATAACAACACCTCCTACCGGTCCAAATAGGGTTACACACCCTTGTGGCGTCTAGAACCCACTATTCTAGGACAATAATAACTGTCCAATGCTCCTTAGAAGAAGGACTAAGAACACATCTTGAAGATTTAAATAATGAACTTTTTGGAAACACCCTCCCTACTAGTAAGGCCTGATAGGATAAGCATAAAAGACATCCTGATCAGGATTACAACTCAACTAAGGTTGGTCAAAGATTTCTTTAGTCCTAAGTCTTCCTATTTTTCCAAAAATGAGCAAACTTGAGGGGTTATTGATGGGTCATGGTTTCCTAAAACCTCCCTCATTTAAAAGCCAACATACAAAAATCACAACCCAAAATGGGGATATATAATATCGAATGGCTACAAGTTCTTAACTTGTATCATAACAGTTTAAGTGGAGCAATACAATTGAGAAGTTTAAGACTTTTTATATTCTAAATTTAAGGAGAAATAACTTTGATGGCATTATTTATGATAAATTTTAAAGAAGTTGTGAATTGAAGACTCTAGATCTGAGTGGAAACAACTTGCAAAGGCATGTTCTAAAATCTCTAGCTAATTGCACTATATTAGAGGTCTTAGACTTTGGGAATAATCAAATCAATGACAACTTCCCACGTCTTCTTAAAAACATATTGAGTTTTTGTTTCCTTGTTCTGCTAAACAAACAGTTCTCCATGCTTATTGGATATTTATGAATCAAAGGCACTTGGCCAAGGCTTCAGATTGTTAACGTAGCTTTCAACCATTTTCAGAGGGAATCTACCTGATATTTGCTTGAGAACATGGGAAGGAATGATGAAAGGTGGAAACAAAAGCCTTAAACACATAAATTATGATCCCCTGAAGCTGACGAATGGACTGTACTATCAAGATTCAATAACAGTCACATTAAAGGGTCTTAAGTTGGAGCTAGTGAAGATATTAATTGTATTTACCTCTGCTGACTTTTTAAGCAACAACTTTAAAGCAAGGTTGTCAATTTTGTTTCGGTAGGTATTTTGTTTTTTCAATTGGAATGGAATGTTTCAGTTTCAGAGTGTTTTGATGTGTCGTTTCGGGGTTGTGCTATTCATATATTAACTTAAAGTAATTCAACTTAAACAAAATATCAAAATATTATGAAATTAAAATATTTTAACACAAATATTTTTAATATAAAGCTAGGTTAATGTTATCAAGGCTAATAGGATCCAAAGCATCCATTGTTTTGCTCAAATTCCTACAAAGTATAAGCTTGAAGAAAAAAACAACATGAATATAGACCATATATATTAGTGATAAATCTAATTATGAAAAATTAATATCATTGTTAAAAAAAAATAGTAATAATAATTTTCAATATTATTATTAATATCATTGTTATTGAAAATAGTAATGAAAAAGAGCTTTTTATATTTGGGAGGTTTAATTAATTAAATTGAACCAGGTTCAATTTGATTCAATGACTTTTCAAGACCGAAACAGAACATGTGGAATGAAACTGAAACATTCCGGTTGGAATTTAGCCAAAAAATTCATAACAAACCGAGATTTGAAATAAGATGAAAATTATTTTATTTTATTTTATTTTTTGAATTATTATGAAATATTTCAGTCATTTTAAATGAAACGAAATAAAATTGACAACCTTATTTTGAAGCGATAATACCATATATCATAGGACAATTAGTTAGACTCCATGTTTTCAACTTGTCTCATAATGCTCTCACTGGCTAAATTCCATCATCTTTAGGCAACATGTCACAGTTGGAGTCCTTAGACCTCTCATCTAACCACTTGTCTGGACAAATCCCACCACAGCTAGCAAGCCTGTCATTCCTTTTAGTCATGAATCTATCATATAACAGGCTAGTAGCACGGATCCTAATAGGCGCTCAAATCTAGACATTCTGGACCGGTTCCTTTAAAGGTAACCAAGTATTATGCGGGCCTTCATTTATTTTAGCATACTCAAATCCATTAATTTCAACATGCTCCAATACCAATGGATCAAATTATGGTATAAAGATTGACTGGAACTTTTTAAGTGTTGAATTGGGATTTATCTTCGGGTTAGGCATTATCGTTTTACCTTTTATGTTTTGCAAGAGATGGAGAGCATGGTACTACATACATGTAAATTGTGTAATTTTCATAATCTTCCCTCAACTAGAAAAAAGAAGTAAAAATCTTTGCAGAAGAGTGATTAGTACTTAAAAGTGCATTTTTATCATGGTTTTATATCATCATTTTGCACTTGAAGTATCAATAACTCCTTAACCAAAGCATGTTTTATAATAATATATCTAATAACATAAGATACCTTTAATTTGTGGTAAATATTCAGTTTAAATGCAGGTCGATCACATAAATGAAAGGATTTATTGATGA